CTCTTCATCCAACAACAGCAAATTACACATTCTTTTCTGACACATATTGATCATTCTCTAGAATAGACCACATACTAGGCCACAAAGCAAGCCTCAAAAAATACAAAAACATCAAAATAATACAAAGCATCTTCTCTGATCACAATGCTATAAAATTTGAAATCAATGACAGGAAGAACAAGAGAAAAAAAATCAAATACATAGAAACTGAATAACACCTTGCTTGAAAAACCCTGGGTAATAGAAGAAATCAAAGATGAAATTAAAAATTTCCTGGACTCAAACAAGAATGAAAATACAACACACCAAAACCTTTTCGACACAGCAAAAACTGTGCTCAGAGGTCAATTCATAGCAATAAATTCACACTTCAAAAAAGAAAAGAGGGCCAAAATCAATACCTTAACCTTACAACTTGGACAAATAGAAAAAGAGCAGCAAAAGAAGCCCACAGCTGCCAAACGAAAGGAAATAATGAAAGTTAGGGCAGAAATAGATGAAACAGAAAAACAGTTGAAAGAATCAATAAGACTAGAAGTTGGTACTTTGAAAGGATCAATAAAATTGACAAACCACTGGCCAAATTGACAAAGAAAAAGAAGAAGAAATGCAAATAACCCAAATAAGAAATAAGATGGATGACATTACAACAGACTCAACTGAAATAAAAAAAGAGCGCAATAAAATACTATGAAAAACTGTACTCCAACAAATTTGAAAACTAGAGCAGATGGACAAATTTCTGGAAACACACCACCACCTAAATTAACACAAACTGAAGTAGAAAATATGAACAGACCCATAACAAACAAAGAAATTGAAGAGATCATAAAACATCTCCCAACAAAAAAAGACCCTGGCCCAGACATCTTCACTGGAGAATTCTACCAAACATTCAGAGAAGAGCTTGCGCTGATACTATTCAAACTATTTCAGAACATAGAAAAGGAAGGAACACTCCTGAATTCATTCTATGAAGCCAGCATAACCCTGATACCAAAGCCAGGTAAGACACTACTAAAAAAGAAAACTACAAACCAATATCCCTCATGAACATACACGCAAAATTCTCAACAAAACTCTAACCAGTAGAATTCATCAACATATCAAACAATATAATAAATCATGACCAAACAGGATTCATTCCAGGTATGCAAGGATGGTTCAACATCAGAAAATCAATCAACATAATCCATCACGTATATAAAACAAAGAAAAAGAATCACGTGATCATCTCGATTTGATGAAGAAAAGGCATTTGAAAAACTCCAATACACATTCCTGATAAAAACTCTCATCAAAATAGGATAGATGATATGATCCTAAACACAGAAAATCCCACAGTTTCCATAAGAATGCTACTGGAACTAATAGAAGCATTCAGCAAAGTGGCAGGGTACAAGATCAACATACAAAAGTGAGTCGGACTCCTCTACACTGACAAAGAGAACTCCAAAAAGGAAATTGGGAAAACAATATCATTTCCAATAGCCCAAAAAAGATAAAGTACTTAGGAATAAATCTAACCAGGGACATAAAAGATTTATACAAAGAAAACTACAAAACACTACTGCAAGAAACCAAAAAAGAGCTTCATAAATGGAAAAATATATCATGCTTATGGAGAGGAAAACTTAACATTGTGAAAATGTCGATACTACCCAAAGCGATCTTTAGATAAAAGGAAAGCCCGATCCAAATTTTAACAACAATCTTTAGTAAGATGAAAAAACTAATCACAAACTTCATATGCAAAGGAAAGAACCCCCAGATAAGTACAGCGTTATTGAAAAAGAAGCACAAAGTAGGAGACCTCACACTTCCTTATCTCAGAACCTAATATACAGCCACGGTAGCCAAAACAGCCTGGTACTGGTACAATAGACACATAGACCAAAGGAACAAAATTGAAAACCCAGAAGTAAATCCATCCACCTATGGATACTTGATCTTCGACAAAGGGTTGAAGTCCATTAAATTGAGAAAAGATAGTCTCTTTAACAAATGGTGCTCAAAACTAGATATCCATTTGCAGAAAAATGAAAGAGTATCCATATCTCACACTATATATGAAAACCAATTCAAAATGGATCAAGACCTAAATGTAAACTTAAAACTATAAATATCATGGAAAAAAAAAAAAAAGCAGGGACACTAGAGGTCCTAATCTATGGCATAAATAGAATATCAAGCATAACTAAAAATGCAAAAACTCCAGAAGATAAACTAGATAACTAGGACCTCCTAAAATTAAACGCTTATGTTCTTTAAAAGACTTTACCAAGAGAGTAAAGAGAGAACCTATAGACTGGGAAAAAGTCTTTGGCAATGACATATCTGATAAAGGTTTAATCTCCAAAATATATAGAAAACTTCAACAATTCAACAACAAAAAGACAAACAATCCAATCATAAAATGAGCAAAGGACGTGAACAGACATTTCAGCAAAGAGAACATTCAGGTAGCAAACAAATACATGAAAAGACGCTCGTGATCGTTAGCCATTAGAGAGATGCAAATCAAAAGTAGTATGAGATACCATCTCACCCCTGCAAGAACGGCACTGATCAAAAACAAAAGAGAACAAGTTGTTGGAAGATTAAAACTTTCATACACTACTGGTGGGAATGTAAAATGGTACAACCACTATGGAAAAAGATATGGCACTTCCTTAAAAAGCTAGAAATGTAAATAACATATGGTCCAGCAGTCCCACTCCTAGGTGTATATCCTAGAGAAATAAGAGCCTGATAATAGATATGAATAGGCATATGCACACCCATGTTCACTGCAGCGTTATTCAAAATAGCAAAAAGATGGAAACAACCTAAGTGCCCATGAATAGATAAACAAATGAATAGATAAACAAACTGTAGTACATACACACAATAGAATACTATGCAACGATAAAGAATAATGATGAATCCATGAAACATCTCACAACATGGATAATTCTGGAGAACACTATGCTGAGCAAAATAAGTCAATCACAAACGGACAAATATTGTACAAGACTTCTATTATAGAAAATCAAGAAAAAGTTTACCACAGAAAGAAACAATCTTTGATGGTTACCCGGGAGGGGAAGAGGATAGAAGGAAAATCACTAATTAAAGTGTAGACATGCGTTAACTTTGGTGATGAGAAAGGCAATACACAATATAGGGGAAGTCAGCACAATTTGACCAAGGCAAAGGAAGACACTGAGAGGAATGAAAAAAAAAAGAAAATGCAACTACAGAGTGATGGTTAAGGTTGTGTGTCAGCTTGGCTGGGCCATGATTCTCAGTGGTTTGGCAGTTATGTAATGATGTAATCACCTCATGATGAGATCTGATATGATGTAATCACTTACATGATGAAATCTGCTATAAGGTACCATCCTTTGAAGAGAGGAACCAGCCATTTGGTGACAATATGATTACATAGGGCCCCTACCACTCTGGAAAAGTCTATGGTTTTTCTGGCTGGAATTGACACATTTCCCAAATATGACTTTACCTTTTCTGTCCATAAAGCCTTAGCCAGCACCAGCATTTGAGTACTCACAGAATTTTTGTTTCATCAACATGAGAACTTGCTTAACATCACCTCAGACCAAGCAATGTAATTTGCCACAAGGGAGGTGCACTAGTGCCCCACACCATCCCCATGGGATCCATTGGTTCTTCATACCACACCATCTGGAAGTTGATGACCTCTTGGAATTGGAACTGACTCTTGAGAGTCAACTGAACTACTAGCATAGTGGTGCAACTCATGCTCCTGGGTTCTCTTGGGATAAGACTAGTAAGATTAGAATGGACTTTTCATGAAACCACATATTTGCTACATTTTCTCCTATTCTGTTCTGTTTCTTTCACTACTGTATGGGTTTCTCCAGAGAACACTTGCCCAATAAACCACTTACACAAAAATCTCTAACTCATCCTGTAATCCTAAACAATCTAAGCTAAGACAATAAGGACCAGATGAATAGTTGTTATGGCAAATAAGAGTTGAAATGGTAAAAAAGAAAATATAAGGCAGGAAAGATGCAAGTCCCCAACAATAAAAGGCCTATACCTAACATTTTATATATAATTTGACCAGATGATCCATTGCCATCTAGTCAATCCCAACTCATAGTGACCCTATAGGACAGAGTAGAACTGCTCCATAGGGTTTCCAAGCAGCAGCTGGCAGATTCAAACTGCCGATCTTTTTGTTAGCAGCCGAACTCTTAACTACTACACCACCAGGGCTACGTATTGTCAATAGAAAATCAGCAAGCTGAATAAATACAAGATTGTGTGTGTGTGCATATATGTAAAGTCACTATGTGGCTCAAACAATTTTCCCTCAGTTACTAACCTAAAAGTTGGCAGTCTGAACCCACTCAGTGGCACCACAGAAGAAAGGTCTGGTGATCTACTTCTATTAAAATTACAGCCGAGAAAACCCTATGAAACAGTTCTACTCTGTAACATATGGGGTTGCCATGAGTTGGAATTGACTCTACAGCAACAGGTTTTGTTTTGTTTTTTGTTTTTTGTTTTTTGTTTTTTT